CTTGATTGAAATTCTGAGGTCTACAAAAAAATCATTTTACCCTATGAGCGCTCCAGGGTATTGCTGGAATACTCCTCGCCATCTTTCGTATCTCAGAACTTAGCGCAGAAGTGACCCCCTCCACATTACATAGCCTGTGAGTAGCTGTCTGAAGGGTTAACGAACTGTGGAAATCTGTTTTCTATAGGTAGGTTCATCATTACAATTCAGAATGCTGGAATAAAAGCTCCTGATTAAATGTACTATTGCCACAAACTGCCCCTGAGATACAGGGAGGCGGGCAGATGCCATATAGGTTCTACAGGAAACATGGACCTATTAGTTATTAAAAATGAAGTGAAAGTTTGCTGTAGTGGTTTTGGTGGCATCAACATTTATTATTTCATTAGCTTTTTATCAGCTGTTTTGCAACATTTAATAAAACTTGTCTTATTTGTCTATACAAAGCTTATCTAATATGAAACTAATTTCATTTCTTATCCTGCATTTAGCCATAGCTACTCTGAAAACAGTAGAGAATGTCCCTACGGCTATTTGAAAAAAGTCCAGTCAACAAGAGCTCAGCATATTTTTACAGGGCTGTCAGATAAATCTCTCTATGGAAGTTGCCATGCTCACAGAAATTCAATAGAACACAGCTTGGTAGCATACACCACATGAAGTCTTCCTGAGGATTAAACCCTTTTCTAGTTAAAATGTAAAGTTAGTTTTAGAAAATATGCAAAAGTGATTATTTGAAAAAAAATTACAGGATCAAGAAGAATCAAATTATATTGGTCAACAAGTAGAGATTACGTTTCTTTTAAGTAAGTACCTTATATTGCTTATACATGAACAGAGGATCATGCGAAAAAGGAAGGGAATTTCAACTATTAATGATTAAAAGAAATCAGTATTTTGTGAGCACAGTTGTATTTATGCATTTATTTTAATGCTTGTAAAAGTGCATTTTAATATGAAGCTCATGCATCTGTATTTTGGATTATGTTTTCAAACATGAGTACAAAGACGTGCCTTAAAACTGCGCTCACTGGCTGCACCGTTTAAAGGGGAAATCGGTGCAATTGCAAAATCAAGTAACTACATATGCAAGTAGGTCATAAACAATCCCAACATATACACCTTCATGCAAAGGCTTACGTATTTTGTAGATGTGCCTTTTTGCCCCATTAAATATATTTTCATTGTGCTTATGCAAGCAGATGTTTAATTACCCATAGATCTGCCCCATTCATATATAACTGATAATACTGACTTACAATGTGGTAAGGAGCTAAGAAAAGACACTTATTTCTAAATAATGTAGTACACGTGGTGCATGCTGCTGCACAGAGCACTGACAGGTAAGGTAAACAATGCAAGAATACATATCATTCACCATATCACAACAATGTTTTTAAAGAATAGTTTTTTGGTTTCAGTTACCTTTAACAGTAGTTACCTTTAACAACATCGTTTTAGAGACTGATACTTCAACACCACGGATCGGCATTAAAAGAGCACAGATTAGCAATCAATTACCTTACCTACAACATTCCTGAGCCTTCATTCTACACCATTCTGGTTTACTGACCGTACAGCTGCAAAAATGCTAATTTATCTCATCCATTTGGGATTGGATTGGCCTAGATAAAAGTTGGATTAAACTCCTAGTTTTCAATATCCTGATAAACACAGTTCTGGCCACGGTAGTAAGTATTTGGGCATCCACTTCTGCATTTGCTTAGTCTCAGATCTGAACGCTCTCAATTTCTTTGAGGGCCTTGCTGGTCAACGTGAACTTGGAAGCTCTGTCGGGTTATGATTTGTTATCCAAGCTGCAGAACCTAGTGCTACGGCACTCTCAACAGTCCTGGCTCCAGTGTGTCCTGGGAGTAGGATAGATAGTGACAGTGAGAAAGGAAGCAGTGCCACTTCTTCCAGAAGCGCATCTTTCTTTCAAAAGGAATAATAGTAATGGTAAAGTTAACGTCCTTGAACAGGAGGATAATTAGGGATTCTGCAAAATTCTCGTCACTTAGAGATTCACTTTTTGTAAAATTAAGGCTGAGCTACTGGAGAACAGCTGAAAGTTTTTCCATGTTCATCCAGCACTTTTTGCCTTTCCAGCGGAACGTGCATCCTGTTCCTCCAGATATACCAAATGGAATAATGACATTTTTATGTGCTACATTTACCATCAACATAATATTGTAACACTTACTCTAGTGTACAATTGTGTACTGCGGATATAAAGAGAGAGAAGGATTCTTTATATGTATGCTATATATATACACATATATATACACGCACACATCTAAAAACTGTATACATACATTTTCACGCTTTCATGAACACAGAAAGTCACTCTGGGGGGAAAAAAAAAGCTGCACAAAAGTATAGGCCAGATCCTAAGCTGTTATGAAGCATACAAGCCTACAGATTAGATGGGAGTTAGCTATGCAGAATCTAAATTTGAAACCTTCTTCTGTACATTCAGACACGAGGAAGAGGAAGAGAGGGCCAGCAGCAGTTTGCTATCGAGACCATCCTTTTAGAGATCTCTCCCTGCAACCCATGGGAGGGTGGTTTCAGCGCTGCTCTTGAAATGCAGATCAAGTACTATTGCTAATACACATTCTTTCCCTTTCAAAAATTTCACAGGTTCTGAGTCATGGTAAGAGCAAAACTTCTTCTGGCAAAACTATTGTGCTATCTTTCTGTTACCTTTCTGTTCAAATCCGTCTGCAACTAGTAAGCCAAGAAGTCTAGGGACTTAAGCAACGGCAAAAGCTGTCATAAATGTGTTTCATTAACATCCATTTCTTAATAATAAGCGAGCACAGGGGAAAGTAAGAGAGAACAAAAAAATAGACAGCAACTTGGTGTTATTTTAAAGGAAGTTAAAAAAACCTGCTTTGACAATCTTTTACTCACAATCAGAATTCTGAATGCTTTTATGAGTCCAGTCGCCTCTGAAACTGGAAAAAAAAAAACCAAGCAAAAAATCCATCGCTAAGGATTTGCGCTATGATATTTAGGTTCACATGAGTTTTGGTTGCCAAGGGCAAGGCTTGGTGTGGTGACTTGAAAAACAATTGAGGACCTCTGAGTCATCTAAACACCTTCTAAAAGTACAGTAAAGAAGAAAGCAAGGCGTGACTCAGAAGTATTGTTTTTTTTCCTGCCATTGCTCTGTTCAGATTGGAGGCTGCTGCAGGGCCTAAAAGAGTTTCTGAATAAATTAGAGCTTCTCCAGCAGCTTGTTCCAAAATCCCTAAACAAAGTGACATCCAAAGTCCCCTCACTTCCTGGAATTAGCCTTCTTTATAACGCTGCCTCTACTCTTGGGTAATTGGGTACATGTTGGGAAGGTTTTCTGTTAGCATTTTATGACTGTTTACAAATCAACATGAAAAATCAGGAATAGAAGTGCATCATTAACTGAGATCTATACACTACCTGGGAAACATAGCTTGGCCAGCTATGATCTCATTCGAGGTAGATGTTTGTCAGTCTCCAAAATCCCTGTCTCCAATATCCATGAGTGGTTTGTAAGTGTCACTATCTAGTTAGAAGGGGAAGACATCTAAAAGAGTAAACTTGTTTCAAGAAAGGCATGTGGGCAATTAGACAAGGAATTTTTGCCTACACATGTCCAGCTTTAGCCAATAGCAAGAGCTTCTGTCTGTAAAGAGTCAGAGCACTAAAAAAATCATAAAAATATATTTTTATGGCAGAATAAATACATCTTGTGAATTGGAATTTCCTGCCTCTGGTAAGATAAGAACCTAGTGCTATTCTTCTTTAGCACGGTCAGAACGTTTCCTGTTTTTGCAGATCATCCAAAGATTTTCTGTGTCACACTTAACATGTTTTCCAAGTCAAGTTGGCAAAAGGGTATTTTAAGCAAAGTGCAAAGCACAGTAGGATGTACTATATAGTGCCATCTGCTGAAAAGTGAAGTGCTCCCACATAAGAATAGAAATTTGTGCATTTTCCATTAATGCAAAAAAGATTCTCGAGATGGCATGATATTTACTGGTTGTGGATAGGTCCCATTCATCCTCAGTGCCTCATTTAGAACCACTACCTCAATTTACATGATGAACACGAACAGCCAATTCTGAAGTTGATGGCATTGTAAATGTTAGTGTGAACGATTCCTAAAGAAGACATTTGAACACATATGGAACATATTTGCAACACCAAGATTCTACACCATTTAAAAGATGCTGCACCCATCCTAGAAAGGGATTGATTTCAAGCCCAGAGAACATGTGAAAAGAACCTGGGCAGATGTAATTTACTTCTTTAGTTTTCTTATTCCACAAAAGCCATTGTGTAGCCATCACAACAGGCCTGTATTCTGCTCTGTTATTTCAGTCTAACATCAATTTTTCAGATTCCCCTGAGGTAGGCACTTTGCTGACTGCTTTTATTAGCCATTTTTAGATACTTGGTCTTCAGCTTTCAGATAATCACTGGGAGTCCTTAATGTGTAACATGATGAAGCAGCCAGCAACTGACTAAAGAGCTGACCAGTCAACACACAGCATATTATTTACCACTGAAACTGTACATAAGGCAGAAAACCCTTTTGCCTAACCATAATACTTCTAAGTAGCAGGACATTTCTTAGAGAGAACAGCTGTATTTTATGAGATAAGGCAGAAGGTTTAAATTTGAATTTTGCATGAAAGTCTTGTCTGCACAGGAAAGCTCTCTTACTTAAGAATTTAAGCAGATATAGTTATAACAATATAAACCCATGTGTAGAGACTTATTTTGGTATAAAACTTGCTTTTGAGGTTTTTAGCTAATGTTTTTGTGAGAGGGCTTAAGCTACATCATAGAAGCAATTCATATCAAAATAAGGCTCTCCTTGTGCAGACCAGCCGATAGAGTACAAAATGCTCCTAGAATTCTGTTACCCTTACTGGACGAAAGTTTATTCTATAAATTTATTCTATATAAACTTTATTCTGTAAGTACAAGTTTATCAATCCATCAGAAGAGACCATACACTGATTCTAACACTTAGGTAACTAGCTGACCAGAAATGCAATCACGACACCAAATTTTTTAAAGTTAGACTAGAAAAATCCCAAGGAAAAATTATCTTAGGGTGACAGTCACAGATCTGAGACATGTATGACCAAACTATCCGGTAGACACCCCAATTTATGGCAAGTTTACTTCTTGCAAAGGACTTAAGATGTTCGTAATATTTTATGCTTTCTATTGCATCTGCTTGTTTTTGTGTTGTTTACTTAATGTTGACTTGTGGTAAATTCCAGGAGAAGCACACTAGTGGACTGGAAATTGAACAATAACTTAAATATAGCTTCATTCACTGAGATCGAATGGACCAATTCAGATGTCATTCTCTTTCAGTTTATTGCTCATCCTGTGGAGCGTTATTGTGTGGCTGTCTTCACAAGGGTATAGTTGCAACTTGTATCCTCGAGGGGCCTACAGGCAGGGATGCTGAAACAAAGAACTTTGAAGTGGATAAAAAAACCATCAGGTCTTGAACCAGAGTCTGAAAGATTACAGGCATGGGTGCGGCTGTAGAACGAGCTAGACCTTTCCAATCTTTATGCAATACAGGGACTATCTGTTGTATTGAAAATTCTTTCTTGTTACGTGCTCTTCCTACCCTTAAACTTGCACACTATTTTGTTTTGAAAAGCCTGTTTCCAGTGACTGTATTCACATATTGGTCCAACAGTTCGCAGGTCTGGCAAGTTAACCGCATCTAGTTGGAATCGATGATCAGTCATCATCTGCTATATGCGACGGGCACCAAAACTCTGGTTAAAGGACAGCTGGAATCAGAAACTACAACTCCACAAAGCAGTTGGATTCTAAGGATATCTGAATAGGTGGCTTTCAGAGAAAAGGAGAGAAAAAAAAACAAATCAGCTCCAAGCAGTGATTTTACTTCTGCTATAATCAATTATTATACAGTTCCACTATCTTACTGTTTTCTTTTTGTATCTGTTTTCTCTACTCTCATTAGATTTTTATGCCCAATTATTTTTATTTCTCTGTGCACCATTTTTTCACTGTGCTTTCAAAATAAAGTTCTTCAGGCACGTTACATAGTTGCAGAAAATGACCCAGGGAGAGGCCCAAAGTCAGAATCTCAAGTGTTTCCATAAAAATCATCCTCTAAATCTTACTCCTTGCCCAGGAAAAATGGAACAAAACAGTAGAGTATAACACCTGAGAAACTAAAAATAGATTACAGATAAACTAGTCAGTTTCGACTTCTTCAGGATATCTTCTGTAAAATAAATGTGTAGCAGTAAATACACCTAGATGAGGTGAAACCCCTACAAACACAAAACAAAACACAACACATGAGTGTCTTTCCCTGAGAAAGGATGTGAAATATTTTAAACATGTTTTGAGCCACTGTGCTGCTGCCAACCCTCCCCATTTTACTATGATTGTCTTCAGGTTTTAAATTTCTTATCAACAGACGATGGGAGACCACAGACTTTAAAAAAGTTTCCTTATGCAAAATAGCTGCCATCTCTGATAGGTATTATTGTGATTAAAAGCAGTCACACGGTTGCCATTCCCTCTAACCGATCTGTACTTCTGCCAGCAAACCTGAAATAATCTGAAATGTAAAAACAGAAGTTTACAGCACAGTGAAAGAGACAGCTAGAGAATGAGGAGGAAGAAGAAGAGCAGCTCTGCGAGACATGCATGTGGAAACATGCAGTGAGGGAGAGGAAAGCACAGAGCAGGAGAAGGAGTTAGAAGTCCTAGAGCAATGAAAGGCCAGTCTTTGTTGTGAGGGAGGAGGGATGTCGTGCTGTGCAGCCTTACAAAAGGCAATATTGGAAACGCTCATGAATGCATGGTAGTTTCTCAGTTGAAAGGGCAAGCAGAGGTTGAAAAGCATCCCAAATGGAGTATTTAGGTGTGGATTTCTGTATGCATTAAACATTTTCATATGTTCTAAGGGAAAAACAGTCATGGAGCCACACCAAAAAACATGATTAAAAAGCCCCCACAAAAACACTTGTGAGGCAGAGAGATCTCTGCTTTGGAGACAGTACACATTGTACTTCTTCCTTCTCTCCTTAAAATTGACAAGTCTTTCTTTGCACACAGAAAATCCAAGGCAAAAAACAGTTTTCCATTCAAAAGTGCTTTTTAAAAATTGTTTTTCATTAAACACACATCAGTATTGACAATCTATTTTTTTTTGAAAATAGTGTGGAGAAAAACTATGTTCCCAAACATTTGATTCTTCTTTTTAAAATAACTTACTGGTGGGGAACTTGATTCTGAACAAGTGGGTAGGTTAATTTGGTACAGTAGTTTATAGCTTGTATATATTAACACTGTACCTAAAGTAACTCCATACAATGTTATATAGCAGAAAACATTTGCCTATACCCTCATATTTCCTTTTAGCTGTAAAAAGGAAAGATGCATTTTGACACTGGTGTTGGCAGCAGTGCTAAGCTTGTAAGAACTTACACGGGACAGTCAAAAATCCTGCAGGTGGGATCCACAAGCACATACAAATCAGAGGAAGGCTTCCTGTTGCGCAAGTTGAATAACCACTCCGTTCTACCTCAGGCCGACGCACAGTCAGGTTGAGAATTCACTGCATTTGATACTGGGTCATGCCCAAAAGCCCGGCTCTGGGCAGAACATCCTTTACCAGGAGCGTGCCAAGAATGAGGCAGCTGGAGTGGGATTTGTGGCAACTCTGTGGATCCAGAGCCCTGATGCCAATTTAACTGTTAGCACTATGAGCTCACTCAGGCTAAGGGAACTGAAAGAAATTAAAGCCACTTTTTTAAACTCATTATCTTCAGCTGTGCTAAGCACAAATTTGGTGCAGCTGAGAATCTGGCCTTCTGTGATTAAAGCCATTTCCATCAGATTGAAAACGGAGGCAAAACTAATAAGAAGAAAACAAAAGAGAGTGTGGAAAACAAAAGCAATGTGCTTTTAATTTACTTGTGTAAGGTCCAAACCATGTGCTGTGCTGTGCTGTCCATTTAAGTGAAAAGGAGTCTCTGACAGTTCAGAGCACTGCAGTTTTGTGAGAAAGCCATGCTATCATCTCACATGTGGCACACCTGCAACTTTCCATATTTCACGTTAGTAACTGCGTATTCCTAGAATTTTGTCACAGTTTGTGTTCCTTAGCTTTCGCGTTTCTCAAGGTACAGCAGTGGGTAAAATTACCTCTATCGCATTCCTGTGGAAGACGCCTGTTGCCACACTTGACATTAATTTCTCTGCAGACTATAGTTAAATGTAGCTGTAGCTGATGTAGAGTACATTTTTGTAGGTTGTATTTTTGTAATCTCCATGGTATAACCGAAGCACGGTCTGAATGATGGGACACTTTCTCTGTCCATCTAGCCAAAACCAGATAATTAAACAACATTTGTAATTCATTTGAAGTAGTAAAGGAATTTTTTAAACATTAACACATGAATTCTCACAGTACTCCTGCTACTCAGGTGGTGTTACTAATTTGAAAACAGTAGAATAATCTGATGAAAAAGAAAAAAGGAAAGCTTCTAAATGGTAACAAAAAAACTTGAGCACTATACTCTAAGATTTTGATTAGAAAATTCCTGAATATGAATGAGTGAAGAAATATTCAAAAATCGTTTCATCCCCTTAAGGTTTTCTTGTAAGCTTTCCAGTGCTTCCTACCCCTTTTCCCTCTGGAAACACTAAAGTGGGGTTTTTAAAGATGTTTTAACATTTCTCTCTAAATCACAGAAAGAAAAAATGCAGTTACGATAACAAAAAATAAAGAGAAAAATGTTTTCTATACTGTAAAATTTCATTTTTGGCCATTGGGCTGTTTCGCTTTAGCCAAACCAGTTTACTTTTTTCAATGTATTATTTTATATGAAAAATTCCTTAAGCACTCATGAATAAAATACTGATTCTGCTTAAATCCAAGTATATTATCATCAACTTCAGCAGGCCTATATGCTTTATAGAAAAAAGAAAGGGGGGGGGAATAAAAGAACAGACAGACTTTTTTGCTTTAGTATCGCAGGAGTAAGTATGCAGTTGGACGCAGAGTGACAGCCCTAATACATATGAAGAAATTAGTCATGCTTTAATCAGTTCTTGGATTTAAAATCTGAACTGTATACACAGTTCTCTATATATTTCTATATAAACTATTTTTCACTATTTTTCGCTTAATACAAATTTCTGTTTATTTCATTTCTATGTGTCTATGTTTAAAGTTTAATGCTGTTCTCTACAGCTTAAGCTTCGTGTGCCCTTTCACCTTTCACTTTGAGCTATTGTGTAGAATTTCACGTCTTTAAATCTTCTGAGCACTGATTCACACATCTAAATCTCCAGCAAAGTGCAGGCTTAAAATGCATTGTTCCAATCAGGAGAGAAACTTTGCTTTTATAAAGTGTGAACAGCTGTGCAAAATACTGACTTAATGTTAGAAGTAACATCAAGAACATGTTAAGGGCTTTTGTTCTATGAAGTTGAACTGTCCAAAGTTTGACAAGCAAACAAACCAGAGGAAGAAAAGAAATTAAGTAAAGATTATACCTTCATGTATCAGAAAAATATCAGACATTAATATTCAGATATTTTGTGCAAAAAACCGAAAATGTTTAGCGTGTTTTATAAATGGATATTTTTGTAGAGTTATACAACATATTTACAATTTTTAAATTATTATTTTGCTTAGATTTGCCCATTAATCAGTAGGTCTTGGGTGGAAACATTATCCATACAGGGCAATAAGGATTCTGAAACTGTCTTTCATGAGAAAAATCACAGTTTAAATTAGTACTGTGGAAGCATATTGCCATTCGTGGAAGGAATATTTTTGAACCGCTTCTAGTCTCTGAGACATCTTACTATGAGAAAAACACAGGGAGCCTGTTAATCAGAAATGGACAAAAGGACACTGCAGAGAAGTTTTAGCAAAGTTTTTTTTCTCTCCTTCAGTTTCAGAGCAAAAGAAGCTGTTACAGATTCTATTTTTCATATTTAACATTAAACTAGTATTCCTGTGGTGTTATTTGTATCTCTAGCTAGTTCTCATTTAGATGCTCCCTTCATGTTCATTTAAAAATAGTCTCTTCCTCAAATAAATTGACAAGGGAGGACCATAGGAATTTTCTCCACAAAATGTTGAAAAATATGGATACGTAGAAAGCAAATGTAATGAAGAGGATGCAGCAATGCTGGTTTTTGTGGGTAAGCAATTGAGAGGAAACAAGATGGTTGTTGGAGCTCTGGGACATTTGTGGTACTGAAAGAATCCCTGCCATAGAATGTAACTACAGATAGCTGTTTGCCACGTGTAAGGCAGTGGCAAGCCCTTGAAGAAGAGAAATGCACTAAGTTACACCATTCTTATTAATAGAGTGGAAACATCTTGAAAAGATTATTACATGAAATAATCACTTAAATACAGCATTCTTTCTATATTTTCTAAAGTTACATGCGCAATAAAGAGTTATTACTTCTAAGTATACAAGACTGCAAACAGGAAATTGGTGAAGAATAAGCTTTATATACTAAGAAGCTTAGATACTGCAATCAGTATTGAAGCTAGAGACTAAGAGATACACATAGAAAAAACAGCTACATCCTGTAACACATGGCATTTAACACATTTTACACTCAAAATTGAATTATACAGAAATTATACTTGATATAATATATTTAATTGGTTGGTGAAAAGTTATGGTTTTAAAATAGCTCTTAGGAAATGATCTCTGGCTTTTGAAGACAATATTATTTAAATATATATGCATATAAAACACTAAATACATATTCATGAATTTATAGATATTTTATAGCATGCCAAAAAGGAAACATCAGTCCTGTACTATTTCCACTGACTCCCCTGTAAGCATGAACAATCCTATGCGACTTCGTATGATTCACAGATTCTGTAAAGAAAGAGCTTCTCAGGTAGGGGTATTACAATTCGTGAGGAAGGTGCATTAAGCTAAATTTTCTAGTCTTGTTTTCACTGCAATCAACTAATTTGTGATCTATAATTAGATCATATAAATACCAGTGCTGCCAATACTTAGAACGGGATACTTATTTTTTCATGTTGTTTAATGTTACTTACATAATTCCAAGACTGCTTCTCTTTCGAAAACCATAAAGGCAGATGTTATGCTGACGTGTGGATGGTACTGAACTTTGTAATGAGATATGGTGTCGCTCCTCTTAAGATAACGGTTAGTCTTGCCTGTGCATTGTGGAACATTACTTTTCACAAGATTTTGTTTTAAATAATATTCTCTTCACAGTCCAGTCTCTAGAAGAAAACAAAAGCAGCATACGGAGATTATCTTAGGTGAGATGATGGAGAAACCTAGGAAAGAATAAGCCAAAAAGTATCTTCTATCCTTGAACCATGATAGTAAAGTGTTGTTTTTCTAGCCAGATAATTTGCTAATTTTATGAAGCATCATACACATCTATAATGCTGTGTAAACAGGAGAGAGAAAAATCAAATTTTTGGAGCAGGCCATCCACTAACCTATATCTTCCAGGACAAAATTACATTGCCTGATCAAAACAGTTCTTTAAAAATGGAAAAATCTGATCTAAATTAAAAGCATGGATCATCATCAAGTACTGAAGACTGACATTTTTGCTATTTGTTTTGCTTTGATATTTTTCAGACATGACATATCTGACCGATCCTCTCAGGCCTGTACAGTCCACAAATCAGGCAATGCCAGGAAATGAGCTAGTAGAATCTTCCAGTATTTATTATCTAAATACTTGAACACACCTTTCTGTCTCATAAGATGGTCTTATGAAGCAAGCTCCTCCTACTGCAAAAAAACATTCTAGGAAAATTATTCTTTCCAGCAAATTCATCGAGGTTGACTTTTCGGTGGCCCAGCAGATAGATTTTGCAGAAAGATATTCTACAGCAGGACAAGTGAGACAAGGAGATGCTCTTAACTTTCAGCCCAGCCTCAGCTCTTTCAAACTTTTATTTTATCTAAAAGTATAAACAAACTATAGAACAACTTTGGAAAGAAATATACACTAATTCCTTAATTACACACGGGCTAAAAACTCTGCTGAAGAATGATACAGCTCAGGGTCTAAGGTAGCTTCCTTACTCCATCCTCCAGCCTTGCTCTTTGTACTTATTTTCTAGCATCCACGGGTCTTCCACTGTGAATTATAGTATTTCAGTTGATACAATCACCTCTAAAATGTATATCAGATGCTCTAGCTTCCTATTCTTTTACTTTCCCTGATACTTTTCACTATTGGATTTGATTCTGCAGTTATCTCTGCCATCTCCTAAAACGGATTCTACTAGAAGATAGACAGGTCTCGTAAATGTTTGTATGATTTCAGTTCAATTTATAAGTCTATTTTTCAGATATGCCTTCAGAAAAATGAGTGAATCACCCACTTGTTTTACTCAATGTAAAATTGCATGGGATAGTTTCTGTAATGCCCCAAGAAGACTCAGAGTAATTAAGGGCTTGACTAAGTTATTATTGATACTACATATGAATATAAATTAAGGTGAGAGAACCTAACAGCCCTCATAGATTTCTATAGATCAGAAAAAAAGGATATACACAGGTCTAACAAGTCTTCTACTGGATGAAACCAAGAAAAGGTTGACAAGCTAACTAATTGCCATCCGAGATCTTTATCGGAAGTTCTAAAAAAGTCATAACATACTTTATACTTAACAGATAATGGAAAAAATATTTCATGCTCATATGATATTGAAATTAGTTACAAATCAACGCATCCAAAGCTTGAAGGATACCTTTGGTATCAGGTAGTGCTAACTCCTAATAGTAGGACTCATTCACCAGTTTACTCAGACTGCTGTGTTGTTTCCTACAGGCCTTCAATGATGAAGACTTAAAGACTTAAAGACACATAAAGAACATCTCTATCTCTCAAAATCAAAAACAAGTTTTCCTCATAGCTCCACCATATAGCCATTTTGTAAACCTATGCATATCCTAACCCATACAAACCATTCAGTTTAAACAAACAAATAACAGAGGGCCTGATCATCATTTGCACTGTCCTAGAGAAGGACCATCACATCTTAAACATTCTGCCTTGATGCACTAGCCAGGATAAACAAGATCTAAGAAGCAGAAGGGTTGGAGTTGATAACCATAGAGAAAAAATGTATACATTTTTATAAATTTATATTCCAGTTTTTAGTGTTTTATTTAAATACTTCAAATAAAACAAAAGATATGGTATTGTGGAAGGACTGGTTCAACATTTCATCATATTCTCTTTCTGAGAGAAGCTATCAGAGTGCTTAGTGCATTAGTTGCACTGAGCGGTCTTACATGTCTAACAGTGTATATTAATGATGCGTTTTGGGTTACAATCTGCTTGTATGACTACAAGTTTGCGGCACTGACAGATGGGAAAAAACTTACTCATTTCAATGGATTTAGTTCACCTCCTTTGCCAGCAAGGACTGTTCACTTCAGTGTATTTTTCTGTTCTCTTATCCTATTTAGCATAAATGCTGCAAATGATGGAACATTAACCACTTTGGAAGACCATAACATGCTGCAGTGGCTTGGGATGCTTAATGGCTTGTATGAGGTTTGTTTCCCAAAGGATGAATTCTAGGAAGCTGTGCAGGTCTTTGAGTTTAGGAAACCTGGTCTGATTGTAAATAAATGCTTCTTTTATGCCATCTCTTCTCCCTAGTAAGGTTAAATTCTTCTTGTAATGCCTAGCAGTCCGGCTGACTTTGGCAAGGGGTTTTATATTGCCACGTATCCTGCATAACCAGCTGAAGAGCTTGTGGAGCAGTGTATCCTGTAACACCTCTCACTGCATTGTGTCCAAGAGCGTAACTGAGCTCAAGGGTTTTGCTTGAGGCAATTAGTAGACAACTACACATGCAGATGTGTAGCACCCCCCTAATGCTTTTAAAATAGACCCATTGTACTGTTTGATCATTCTGGAGTATATTTATGTGCAGATTACATGAGAGGGAGAACAGAACATATTACAGGAAGTGAGTTCCTTTATACAGCTTGTTCCCCTCTGTGAATCTTTATTAGTGGAAAAGCTGCAGGCAACAAAAACAAGATAGCCTGGGACTGTGTTTGATTTTTACTTAAGAGGAGCCTTATACCATTTCCAGCAAAAATACCTTCTCAAACTTTGATGGAGAAAATTTTCCTTGGGTAGATGATGTATAGTAATTTTTGAAGCAGATAATAAATATCTTCTCTTACTAATGCATGCCATTTTATTAGCTAGATCAATATTGCTGTAATTTCTAGCCATTAGCATCTCATTGCTGTATAGTACATAAAAATATTTACATTAACACTGATCAAAATTGCAACAGCCTGTATTAAAATATGAATGACATATAATCAGAATTTTCTGTTTCTACTGCCTCCAGTTATTTGTGACCCCAGATATGAAGTTCAAGTTTACACTTAATAGCACAATTATGTAAATCTGTAATTCTAACACTGAATTACAGCTGGTAATGATCAATAATTATATTTATGTATGATGTGAAGTTAATACTGCCACCATAGATTAATGTAAACAACAAAATTATTTCTGCAGTCAAGAGCTAACAAATCATCATAAACAAAGAGAACTAAAACAATCTCTTCAGAGCTTAATTCCCCCAGCGTAGTAAACAGATTTTTTATTTCCAATGAATGTAAAAGCACTGATTAAAGAAAACACATCTCTACAAAAATTACACAATGGCTGTATCTTTTAGTACAGTTGTTTTTTTTTTAAATCTTTGAAACAGAGTTTGTTGGACAGAAAGAAAAACCTCTCTGAAGAAATCTGGATAATAATTTTGTTAGAATTGTTCTGGGGGAAAATAAACCCTGAGGAAAAAAAAAAGGCAGATTAAAAAGAAAACAAAGGGAGGGATAATCAAACACATCCAATATTTCATAACTTCAGAGCTCTTCAGGGTTCACTCACCTGTAATATTGTTCTCTACTGAAAAACACAACATGGAACTGCATAATGGGACAGAGCAGTCAGTCTTTGGAGTAACTGAGAGTTGACTTGAACAGGTTACACCAAAAAAGAGTTTGGCTTGGCTTGTTCACACATAACGCTATTCTTTTAAGAGCATAAAAATACAGTTACATTAAGAACTTTTTTGTTTCAAGAAGTTCTGTCCTCTGTTTTTCCATCTTGTCCTTGATATGTACTGTTAATGTGTAACTGCTTACACAGGAGTGTGCTAGAGAAGAAAGTGTAGGGGAACCTTCTTCTATAGCCAGCCCTGTCTAGCAGACAGGCAAAACGAGGCTGGGAAATCACCAAGGGCTGAAAGATTTTGTCAGTGCTCCCAACAGGGTCTACTATGCTGCGGACAACATGTCTGATTTAGTTAGAGTGGCACACACCAATACCCACATTTAACAATTTACACAGCAACGTAAAGTACGCTGAGAGAAAGAACGCAGATCTCCAATCGCTGGTCATAGCACCCTAGCCTCCTTTTTCAGCATGGCTTCAAAATTTCACTTAGAGAAGTTACAATGGTCAGATGAAGCTGTGGTGACTAATTAAAATAGGCTCTGCTTATTCTTAAAGCTTGAATATTTGTCAGCATAACAAATAGCAACAGAAGGAAAACGGACTCAGTGATTAGAAAAGTATTCTTAAGGTATTCTTGGGGAGGACTAGTGTCTGCTCTGAGTTCCAGCAGGCAGTTTCTACTTCCTCTACATAGTGCACATTTTCAAAAAGTAGACATCGCAGTAATACGGAGGAAAACGCCTTCATATGTAGAAGAATGTGAAAACGGGATCACAAGCTCAGAGCAGGGCAAATAATTATTATCTCTCCTTAGAAAATGCAAGCAAACATGGTCTTAGAGCACAAGCTGAGCATTATCTTTCAGCCTCATCTCTACAGTGCTAAGGGCCTGATCCAAAATACACTGAGGACCTTCAATTTGGCCCCGTGGGCACTTTGCAAACTCAGATACTACATTGTTGGGTTTCTGCATAACTCAGATGCTCACTAGCTTTTTATTAAATGATTCTCTCTCCAGAAGCAG